TAATTCTCTTTAGCTAAAGCTAGCACACATAAACACATTAACCAAAGGTAGCACTTAGCTACGTTAATCGCTAGCTAACCGCTAATCGCTAGCTACGTGCTAATCGCTAGCTCTGCGCTAATCGCTAGCTACGTGCTAATCGCTAGCTAAGCGCTAATCGCTAGCTAAGTGCTAGCTTTGGTTAATGTGTTTAATTGTATTATGCTCCTGAAGGAGTGCTAATGTAAATTAAGGAACAGCTCATAGTAGGGTAAAATATTTAAGGTGTATTGTTCTTATTTTGTGTTAATATTAAAATCATTCAGCTTTAAATTGTTTGCTTGTTAGCCACCTGCTAATTATCTTTAGCTAGCCAGCTAGCGCTAGCTTATTAATGTCTTGTCATTCTCTGTAGCTAGCTGTGTGTGTGTGTGTGTGTGTGTGTGTGTGTGTGTGTGAGCAGGCTTTGGTTGTCATGGCAATCAGGGGAGCCCACAGCAGCTGCGCACGCTCTCTCTCTGTCTCTAACTCCTCAGAGAGACAGAAAACATTTAAAATGAATCCCCTCAAAAGCATGGCCAGGAACGACCGAAATGAAAACCGAAAACACCGTGGGCGTCGTCATCTTGTTGACTATAGCACTGCCGAGTTTCAGTGGTTAAAGTTAAAAAATGTGACCTGGGGAGATTGAGAGAGAAGAGGTTCAACGAGCGTGTTTCAAGATTTGTCCTCTAAAATTAACATGGGAGTAGATGGGGCCGTGAGAGGGCGTTGCTGGCGCATCAGTGCATTTCCCGCCAAAACTATTTGTCTGACAGCTTCAGCAGTAGTATCACTGCGACCCCAACGGATTTACCTACGTTTCTATCTATAAATTATTTCTGTAGAGTGAAATTTGTGGCCATGACAGCAGTTTACAAATTTATTTTTCGACAAATTTTTCTCTCTCCCCACACTCTAGCGATGATGTCACGCACTCTGGCAGTTTTTTCAGTTGGAGGTTCTCGCAATACACACCCATTCATTTTTTGGACCGGTTTTTGGCGATTTATCGGCAAACCGTTTGGCGAAATTCTTAGAAAAGTCATAGCACTCGATTCCCGGCCGAGCCGCACGTTTTGATACCTTTTTTGTGTATGTGCGACAAAAGCTGCGGGAGGAGTAGCGCGCCGAAAAACGTACGGAAAAATAAGCCCGGAAGTATTGTGCTTTTATCAAGGCACAATAACTAGAAAATTCCTAAAGCAATTTTGATTGTGCCTTGCTCTGGCCCGTGACACTGGCCCATACATTACTGACACTGCCGAGTAGTTTACAGTACAATGAGGGGAGACACCTGTGTTTAATTCGGCGTCCGCGTGATCCACTAACAACCACGTATTTTAATGACAAATCTTGTTTTTTCCATCTATTGCCACGATCTTCTCCCACTGAAATAGTGAGGCCTGGTAACGAGTTGATGCGACAAAGTCGGCCAAAAGTTGGTATTTATGTATTATATTGATGCCGAATTAACAAGAAGACTGTTGACATATGATGAGTTTTTTCTTGTGTTTCTACAGTTATGTGCTTTTATGTAAGCGCAAATAATTGTTAATATATGGTATTTCTTAAATGGAGTTTGGCATAATATTGTCCTGGGATAATGCAGGAAGGGTCATGGTTTAATTAAAATTGCTAAAGTAACTAAATAAGTAATAACCACAATGGTGGGAATAATAAGTATGTAGTTATAATAATAATAATAATAATAACAACAATAATAAGTAATGCTATCAATAATATGAATAACAATATTTATATTAATAAATAATACATAATTAAGAAAGAAAACTATTCTTAATGTGCAGTCATAGGCAGTTACAACAGTCTGAGTGTCTTCTTCCTCACTAAATAAATCTAACTTGATGTTTTATTACTAAATCTGTATTACTTGTGTAATGTGTAACAAGTTGAAATAGATGGCTAATTAAGAATTTCAGTGTCTTTTGTGACGTTTAATTAGCACAGTAATCCTTTGTCCTCTCTAGCTAGCGAGTGCTAGCACATTCATACCTTGTTCTGTCTAGCTAGCTGGCGCTAGAACATTAGTAGCTTATCCTCTCTAGCAAGCAAAGCATTTTAATTAATTAGCTAGTCTTCTAATACCTTCTTCTACCTTCTAATTCTCTTTAGCTAGCTAGCTAGAGCTAGCACACATAAACACATTAACCAAAGCTAGCGCTTAGCTACGTGCTAATCGCTAGCTACGCTTAGCTATGTCTGCTAACCGCTAATCGCTAGCTATGCTAATCGCTAGCTAAGTGCTAGCTTTGGTTAATGTGTTTAATTGTATTATGCTCCTGAAGGAGTGCTAATATAAATTAAGGAACAGCTCATAGTAGGGTAAAATATTTAAGGTGTATTGAACTTATTTTGTGTTAATATTAAAATCATTCAGCTTTAAATTGTTTGCTTGTTAGCCACCTGCTAATTATCTTTAGCTAGCCAGCTAGCGCTAGCTTATTAATGCCATGTAATCCTCCCTATAGCATATTGATAACCTGTCATCCTCCTTAGCTAGCGCTGCTATTAATATCATGTCATTCTCTTTAGCCAGCTAGCTAAAGCTAGCACACATAAACACATAAACCAAAGCTAGCGCTTAGCTACGTGCTAATCGCTAGCTAACCGCTAATCGTGCTAATACATGCTAATCGCTAGCTAGCGCTAATCGCTAGCTAAGTGCTAGCTTTGGTTAATGTGTTTAATTGTATTATGCTCCTGAAGGAGTGCTAATGTAAATTAAGGAACAGCTCATAGTAGGGTAAAATATTTAAGGTGTATTGTTCTTATTTTGTGTTAATATTAAAATCATTCAGCTTTAAATTGTTTGTTTGTTAGCCGCCTGCTAATTATCTTTAGCTAGCCAGCTAGCGCTAGCTTATTAATGTCTTGTCATTCTCTGTAGCTAGCTGTGTGTTTTTTGTGTGTGTGTGTGTGTGTGTGTGTGAGCAGGCTTTGGTTGTCATGGCAATCAGGGGAGCCCACAGCAGCTGCGCGCGCTCTCTCTCTGTCTCTAACTCCTCAGAGAGACAGAAACATTTAAAATGAATCCCCTCAAAAGCATGGCCAGGAACGACCGAAATGAAAACCGAAAAGACCGTGAGCGTCGTCATCTTGTTGACTATAGCACTGCCGAGTTTCAGTGGCTAAAGTTAAAAAATGTGACCTGGGGGAGATTGAGAGAGAAGAGGTTCAACGAGCGTGTTTCAAGATTCGTCCTCTCCAATTTAACATGGGAGTAGATGGGGCCGTGAGAGGGCGTTGCTGGCGCATCAGTGCGTTTCCCGCCAAAACTATTTGTCTGACAGCTTCAGCAGTAGTATCACTGCGACCCCAACGAATTTACCTACGTTTCTATCTATAAATTATTTCGGTAGAGTGAAATTTGTGGCCATGACAGCAGTTTACAAATTTATTTTTCGACAAATTTTTCTCTCTCCCCACACTCTAGCGATGATGTCACGCACTCTGGCAGTTTTTTTCAGTTGGAGGTTCTCGCAATACACACCCATTCATTTTTTGGACCGGTTTTTGGCGATTTATCGGCAAACCGTTTGGCGAAATTCTTAGAAAAGTCATAGCACTAATGTCCTCATCGAGCCGCACGTTTTGATACCTTTTTTGTGTATGTGCGACAAAAGCTGCGGGAGAAGAAGCGCGCGGAAGAATAATAATATTAAGCCCGAGGATAATAGTATTGTGCTTGCTTATGCACGGAAGAAATAATAAGTTAAATTATTAATAACTAGAAAATTCCTAAAGCAATTTTGATTGTGCCTTGCTCTGGCCCGTGACACTGGCCCATACATTACTGACACTGCCGAGTAGTTTACAGTACAATGAGGGGAGACACCCGTGTTTAATTCGGCGTCCGCGTGATCCACTAACAACCACGTATTTTAATGACAAATCTTGTTTTTTCCATCTATTGCCACGGTCTTCTCCCACTGAAATAGTGAGGCTGGTAACGAGTTGATGCGACAAAGTCGGCCAAAAAGTTGGTATTTATGTATTATATTGATGCCGAATTAACAAGAAGACTGTTGAGATATGATGAGTTTTTTCTTGTGTTTCTACAGTTATGTGCTTTTATGTAAGCGCAAATAATTGTTAATATATGGTATTTCTTAAATGGAGTTTGGCATAATATTGTCCTGGGATAATGCAGGAAGGGTCATGGTTTAATTAAAATTGCTAAAGTAACTAAATAAGTAATAACCACAATGGTGGGAATAATAAGTATGTAGTTATAATAATAATAATGATAATAATAGTAATAATAATAACAACAATAATAAGTAATGCTATCAATAATATGAATAACAATATTTATATTAATAAATAATACATAATTAAGAAAGAAAACTATTCTTACTGTGCAGTCATAGTGCAGTTACAACAGTCTGAGTGTCTTCTTCCTCACAAAATAAATCTAACTTGATGTTTTATTACATTACTAAATCTGTATTACTTGTGTCATGTGTAACAAGTTGAAATAGATGGCTAATTAAGAATTTCAGTGTCTTTTGTGACGTTTAATTAGCACAGTAATCTTTTGTCCTCTCTAGCTAGCGAGTGCTAGCACATTCATACCTTGTTCTGTCTAGCTAGCTGGCGCTAGAACATTAGTAGCTTATCCTCTCTAGCAAGCAAAGCATATTAATTAATTAGCTAGCCTTCTAATACCTTCTTCTACCTTCTAATTCTCTTTAGCTAGCTAGAGCTAGCACACATAAACACAAAGCTAACCAATGCTAATCGCTTGCTAACTGCTAATCGCTAGTGCTAAACTCGCTAATCGCTAGCAAAGTGCTAGCTTTGGTTAATGTGTTTAATTGTATTATGCTCCTGAAGGAGTGCTAATGTAAATTAAGGAACAGCTCATAGTAGGGTAAAATATTTAAGGTGTATTGAACTTATTTTGTGTTAATATTAAAATCATTCAGCTTTAAATTGTTTGCTTGTTAGCCACCTGCTAATTATCTTTAGCTAGCCAGCTAGCGCTAGATTATTAATGCCATGTAATCCTCCCTATAGCATATTGATAACCTGTCATCCTCCTTAGCTAGCACTAGCATATTAATATCATGTCATTCTCTTTAGCTAGCTAGCTAGATAGCTAGCACACATAAACACATAAACCAAAGGTAGCGCTTAGCTACGTGCTAATCGCTAGCTAAGTGCTAGCTTTGGTTAATGTGTTTAATTGTATTATGCTCCTGAAGGAGTGCTAATGTAAATTAAGGAACAGCTCATAGTAGGGTAAAATATTTAAGGTGTATTGAACTTATTTTGTGTTAATATTAAAATCATTCAGCTTTAAATTGTTTGTTTGTTAGCCACCTGCTAATTATCTTTAGCTAGCCAGCTAGCGCTAGCTTATTAATGTCTTGTCATTCTCTGTAGCTAGCTGTGTGTGTGTGTGTGTGTGTGTGTGTGTGTGTGAGCAGGCTTTGGTTGTCATGGCAATCAGGGGAGCCCACAGCAGCTGCGCGCGCTCTCTCTCTGTCTCTAACTCCTCAGAGAGACAGAAACATTTAAAATGAATCCCCTCAAAAGCATGGCCAGGAACGACCGAAATGAAAACCGAAAAGACCGTGAGCGTCGTCATCTTGTTGACTATAGCGCTGCCGAGTTTCAGTGGCTAAAGTTAAAAAATGTGACCTGGGGAGATTGAGAGAGAAGAGGTTCAACGAGCTCCTTTCAAGATTCGTCCTCTAAAATTAACATGGGAGTAGATGGGGCCGTGAGAGGGCGTTGCTGGCGCATCAGTGCGTTTCCCGCCAAAACTATTTGTCTGACAGCTTCAGCAGTGGTATCACTGCGACCCCAACGAATTTACCTACGTTTCTATCTATAAATTATTTCTGTAGAGTGAAATTTGTGGCCATGACAGCAGTTTACAAATTTATTTTTCGACAAATTTTTCTCTCTCCCCACACTCTAGCGATGATGTCACGCACTCTGGCAGTTTTTTTCAGTTGGAGGTTCTCGCAATACACACCCATTCATTTTTTGGACCGGTTTTTGGCGATTTACCGGCAAACCGTTTGGCGAAATTCTTAGAAAAGTCATAGCACACCATTCCCGGCCGAGCCGCACGTTTTGATACCTTTTTTGTGTATGTGCGACAAAAGCTGCGGGGAGAAGAAGCGCGCCGAAAAACGGGCGGAAGAATAATAAGAATTTTAACTAGAAAATTCCTAAAGCAATTTTGATTGTGCCTTGCTCTGGCCCATATGTTAATACCATGTCTACGTGCTAACCGCTAATTACCTTTTATTAATTCCATGTCATCCTCCCTATAGCATACTGATAACCTGTCATCTCCTTAGCTAGTGCTAGCATATTAATATCATGTCATTCTCTTTATGCTAGCTAGAGCTAGCACACATAAACAAAGCTAGCGTTAGCTACGTGCTAAGCTGCTACGCTAATCTTAGCTACGTGCTAATCGCTAGCTAACTGCTAATCGCTAGCTACATGATAATGCTGCACAGCTAATCGCTAGCTAAGCGCTAATCGCTAGCTAAGTGCTAGCTTTGGTTAATGTGTTTAATTGTATTATTCTCCTGAAGGAGTGCCAATATAAAATAAGGAACAGCTCATAGTAGGGTAAAATATTTAAGGTGTATTGTTCTTATTTTGTGTTAATATTAAAATCATTCAGCTTGAAATTGTTTGTTTGTTAGCCACCTTCTAATTATCTTTAGCTAGCCAGCTAGCGCTAGCTTATTAATGCCATGTAATCCTCCCTATAGCATATTGATAACCTGTCATCCTCCTTAGCTAGCGCTAGCATATTAATACCATATCATTCTCTTTAGCTAGCTAGCTAGAGCTAGCACACATAAACACATAAACCAAAGGTAGCGCTTAGCTACGTGCTAATCGCTAGCTAACCGCTAATCGCTAGCTAACTGCTAATCGCTAGCTACATGCTAATGGCTAGCTATGCGCTAATCGCTAGCTAAGCGCTAATCGCTAGCTAAGTGCTAGCTTTGGTTAATGTGTTTAATTGTATTATGCTCCTGAAGGAGTGCTAATGTAAATTAAGGAACAGCTCATAGTAGGGTAAAATATTTAAGGTGTATTGAACTTATTTTGTGTTAATATTAAAATCATTCAGCTTTAAATTGTTTGCTTGTTAGCCACCTGCTAATTATCTTTAGCTAGCCAGCTAGCGCTAGCTTATTAATGCCTTGTCATTCTCTGTAGCTAGCTGTGTGTGTGTGTGTGTGTGTGTGTGAGCAGGCTTTGGTTGTCATGGCAATCAGGGGAGCCCACAGCAGTGCTGCGCAGCTCTCTCTGTCTCTAACTCTTGAGAGAGACAGAAAACAATTAAAACGAATCCCCTCAAAAGCATGGCCAGGAACGACCGAAGTGAAAACCGAAAAGACCGTGGGCGTCATCATCTTGTTGACTATAGCACTGCCGAGTTTCAGTGGCTAAAGTTAAAAAATGTGACCTGGGGAGATTGAGAGAGAAGAGGTTCAACGAGCGTTTTTCAAGATTCCTCCTCTAAAATTAACATGGGAGTAGATGGGGCCGTGAGAGGGCGTTGCTGGCGCATCAGTGCGTCTCCCGCCAAAACTATTTGTCTGACAGCTTCAGCAGTAGTATCACTGCGACCCCAACGGATTTACCTACGTTTCTATCTATAAATTATTTCGGTAGAGTGAAATTTGTGGCCATGACAGCAGTTTACAAATTTATTTTTCGACAAATTTTTCCCTTCTCCCCACACTCTAGCGATGATGTCACGCACTCTGGCAGTTTTTTTCAGTTGGAGGTTCTCGCAATACACACCCATTCATTTTTTGGACCGGTTTTTGGCGATTTATCGGCAAACCGTTTGGCGGAATTCTTAGAAAAGTCATAGCACACCATTCCCGGCCGAGCCGCACGTTTTGATACCTTTTTTGTGTATGTGCGACAAAAACTGCGGGAGAAGAAGCGCGCCGAAAAACAGGCGGAAGAATAATAAGAAAACTAGAAAATTCCTAAAGCAATTTTGATTGTGCCTTGCTCTGGCCCATATGTTAATACCATGTCTACGTGCTAACCGCTAATCGCTAGCTGTGCGCTAATCGCTAGCTAAGTGCTAACCGCTAGCTAAGTGCTAGCTTTGGTTAATGTGTTTAATTGTATTTTGCTCCTGAAGGAGTGCTAATGTAAATTAAGGAACAGCTCATAGTAGGGTAAAATATTTAAGGTGTATTGTTCTTATTTTGTGTTAATATTAAAATCATTCAGCTTTAAATTGTTTGTTTGTTAGCCCCCTTCTAATTATCTTTAGCTAGCCAGCTAGCGCTAGATTATTAATGCCATGTAATCCTCCCTATAGCATATTGATAACCTGTCATCCTCCTTAGCTAGCGCTAGCATATTAATATCATGTCATTCTCTTTAGCTAGCTAGCTAGAGCTAGCACACATAAACACATTAACCAAAGGTAGCGCTTAGCTACGTGCTAATCGCTAGCTACAGGCTAATCGCTGCTACATGCTACGCTAACGCTAATCGCTAGCTACATGCTAATCGCTAGCTAAGCGCTAATCGCTAGCTAAGTGCTAGCTTTGGTTAATGTGTTTAATTGTATTATGCTCCTGAAGGAGTGCTAATGTAAATTAAGGAACAGCTCATAGTAGGGTAAAATATTTAAGGTGTATTGTTCTTATTTTGTGTTAATATTAAAATCATTCAGCTTTAAATTGTTTGCTTGTTAGCCACCTGCTAATTATCTTTAGCTAGCCAGCTAGCGCTAGCTTATTAATGTCTTGTCATTCTCTGTAGCTAGTGTGTGTGTGTGTGTGTGTGTGTGTGTGAGCAGGCTTTGGTTGTCATGGCAATCAGGGGAGCCCACAGCAGCTGCGCACGCTCTCTCTCTGTCTCTAACTCCTCAGAGAGACAGAAAACATTTAAAATGAATCCCCTCAAAAGCATGGCCAGGAACGACCGAAATGAAAACCGAAAACACCGTGAGCGTCGTCATCTTGTTGACTATAGCGCTGCCGAGTTTCAGTGGTTAAAGTTAAAAAATGTGACCTGGGGAGATTGAGAGAGAAGAGGTTCAACGAGCGTGTTTCAAGATTCCTCCTCTAAAATTAACATGGGAGTAGATGGGGCCGTGAGAGGGCGTTGCTGGCGCATCAGTGCGTCTCCCGCCAAAACTATTTGTCTGACAGCTTCAGCAGTGGTATCACTGCGACCCCAACGGATTTACCTACGTTTCTATCTATAAATTATTTCTGTAGAGTGAAATTTGTGGCCATGACAGCAGTTTACAAATTTATTTTTCGACAAATTTTTTCTCTCTCCCCACACTCTAGCGATGATGTCACGCACTCTGGCAGTTTTTTTCAGTTGGAGGTTCTCGCAATACACACCCATTCATTTTTTGGACCGGTTTTTGGCGATTTATCGGCAAACCGTTTGGCGAAATTCTTAGAAAAGTCATAGCACTCGATTCCCGGCCGAGCCGCACGTTTTGATACCTTTTTTGTGTATGTGCGACAAAAGCTGCGGGAGAAGAAGCGCCAAAAACGTACGGAAGAATAATAATATAACTAGAAAATTCCTAAAGCAATTTTGATTGTGCCTTGCTCTGGCCCATATGTTAATACCATGTCTACGTGCTAACCGCTAATCGCTAGCTGTGCGCTAATCGCTAGCTTAGTGCGCTAATCGCTAGCTAAGTGCTAACCGCTAATTGCTAGCTAAGTGCTAGCTTTGGTTAATGTGTTTAATTGTATTATGCTCCTGAAGGAGTGCTAATGTAAATTAAGGAACAGCTCATAGTAGGGTAAAATATTTAAGGTGTATTGAACTTATTTTGTGTTAATATTAAAATCATTCAGCTTTAAATTGTTTGCTTGTTAGCCACCTTCTAATTATCTTTAGCTAGCCAGCTAGCGCTAGATTATTAATGCCATGTAATCCTCCCTATAGCATATTGATAACCTGTCATCCTCCTTAGCTAGCGCTAGCATATTAATATCATGTCATTCTCTTTAGCTAGCTAGCTAGAGCTAGCACACATAAACACATAAACCAAAGGTAGCGCTTAGCTACGTGCTAATCGCTAGCTAACCGCTAATCGCTAGCTACGTGCTAATCGCTAGCTACATGCTAATCGCTAGCTAAGCGCTAATCGCTAGCTAAGTGCTAGCTTTGGTTAATGTGTTTAATTGTGTTATGCTCCTGAAGGAGTGCTAATGTAAATTAAGGAACAGCTCATAGTAGGGTAAAATATTTAAGGTGTATTGTTCTTATTTTGTGTTAATATTAAAATCATTCAGCTTTAAATTGTTTGCTTGTTAGCCACCTGCTAATTATCTTTAGCTAGCTAGCGCTAGCTTATTAATGTCTTGTCATTCTCTGTAGCTAGCTGTGTGTGTGTGTGTGTGTGTGTGTGTGTGTGTGAGCAGGCTTTGGTTGTCATGGCAATCAGGGGAGCCCACAGCAGCTGCGCACGCTCTCTCTCTGTCTCTAACTCCTCAGAGAGACAGAAAACATTTAAAATGAATCCCCTCAAAAGCATGGCCAGGAACGACCGAAATGAAAACCGAAAAGACCGTGAGCGTCGTCATCTTGTTGACTATAGCACTGCCGAGTTTCAGTGGCTAAAGTTAAAAAATGTGACCTGGGGAGATTGAGAGAGAAGAGGTTCAACGAGCGTTTTTCAAGAATCCTCCTCTCCATTTTAATATGGGAGTAGATGGGGCCGTGAGAGGGCGTTGCTGGCGCATCAGTGCGTCTCCCGCCAAAACTATTTGTCTGACAGCTTCAGCAGTAGTATCACTGCGACCCCAACGGATTTACCTACGTTTCTATCTATAAATTATTTCTGTAGAGTGAAATTTGTGGCCATGACAGCAGTTTACAAATTTATTTTTCGACAAATTTTTCTCTCTCCCCACACTCTAGCGATGATGTCACGCACTCTGGCAGTTTTTTTCAGTTGGAGGTTCTCGCAATACACACCCATTCATTTTTTGGACCGGTTTTTGGCGATTTATCGGCAAACCGTTTGGCGAAATTCTTAGAAAAGTCATAGCACTAATGTCCTCATCGAGCCGCACGTTTTGATACCTTTTTTGTGTATGTGCGACAAAAGCTCTGGGAGAAGAAGCGCGCCGAAAAAACGTACGGAAGAATAATAATAAGTTATAACTAGAAAATTCCTAAAGCAATTTTGATTGTGCCTTGCTCTGGCCCATATGTTAATACCATGTCTACGTGCTAACCGCTATTTAACAGCTAATCGCTAGCTGTGCGCTAATTGCTAGCTAAGTGCTAACCGCTAATTGCTAGCTAAGTGCTAGCTTTGGTTAATGTGTTTAATTGTATTATGCTCCTGAAGGAGTGCTAATGTAAATTAAGGAACAGCTCATAGTAGGGTAAAATATTTAAGGTGTATTGAACTTATTTTGTGTTAATATTAAAATCATTCAGCTTTAAATTGTTTGTTTGTTAGCCACCTGCTAATTATCTTTAGCTAGCCAGCTAGCGCTAGATTATTAATGCCATGTAATCCTCCCTATAGCATATTGATAACCTGTCATCCTCCTTAGCTAGCGCTAGCATATTAATATCATGTCATTCTCTTTAGCTAGCTAGCTAGAGCTAGCACACATAAACACATAAACCAAAGCTAGCGCTTAGCTACGTGCTAATCGCTAGCTAACTGCTAATCGCTAGCTACGTGCTAATCGCTAGCTAACTGCTAATCACTAGCTACATGCTAATCGCTAGCTAAGCGCTAATCACTAGCTAAGTGCTAGCTTTGGTTAATGTGTTTAATTGTATTATGCTCCTGAAGGAGTGCTAATGTAAATTAAGGAACAGCTCATAGTAGGGTAAAATATTTAAGGTGTATTGTTCTTATTTTGTGTTAATATTAAAATCATTCAGCTTTAAATTGTTTGCTTGTTAGCCACCTGCTAATTATCTTTAGCTAGCTAGCGCTAGCTTATTAATGTCTTGTCATTCTCTGTAGCTAGCTGTGTGTGTGTGTGTGTGTGTGTGTGTGTGTGTGTGTGTGTGAGCAGGCTTTGGTTGTCATGGCAATCAGGGGAGCCCACAGCAGCTGCGCACGCTCTCTCTCTGTCTCTAACTCCTCAGAGAGACAGAAAACAATTAAAACGAATCCCCTCAAAAGCATGGCCAGGAACGACCGAAATGAAAACCGAAAAGACCGTGAGCGTCATCATCTTGTTGACTATAGCGCTGCCGAGTTTCAGTGGCTAAAGTTAAAAAATGTGACCTGGAGAGATTGAGAGAGAAGAGGTTCAACGAGCGTTTTTCAAAATTCCTCCTCTCCATTTTAATATGGGAGTAGATGGGGCCGTGAGAGGGCGTTGCTGGCGCATCAGTGCGTTTCCCGCCAAAACTATTTGTCTGACAGCTTCAGCAGTAGTATCACTGCGACCCCAACGAATTTACCTACGTTTCTATCTATAAATTATTTCTGTAGAGTGAAATTTGTGGCCATGACAGCAGTTTACAAATTTATTTTTCGACAAATTTTTCCCTTCTCCCCACACTCTAGCGATGATGTCACGCACTCTGGCAGTTTTTTTCAGTTGAGGTTCTCGCAATACACACCCATTCATTTTTTTGGACCGGTTTTTGGCGATTTATCGGCAAACCGTTTGGCGAAATTCTTAGAAAAGTCATAGCACTCGATTCCCGGCCGAGCCGCACGTTTTGATACCTTTTTTGTGTATGTGCGACAAAAGCTGCGGGAGGAGTAGCGCGCCGAAAAAGCGTACGGAAGAATAATAAGTTTAACTAGAAAATTCCTAAAGCAATTTTGATTGTGCCTTGCTCTGGCCCATATGTTAATACCATGTCTACGTGCTAACCGCTATTTAACCGCTAATCGCTAGCTACATGCTAATCACTAGCTAAGCGCTAATCGCTAGCTAAGTGCTAGCTGTGGTTAATGTGTTTAATTGTATTATGCTCCTGAAGGAGTGCTAATGTAAATTAAGGAACAGCTCATAGTAGGGTAAAATATTTAAGGTGTATTGTTCTTATTTTGTGTTAATATTAAAATCATTCAGCTTTAAATTGTTTGCTTGTTAGCCACCTGCTAATTATCTTTAGCTAGCCAGCTAGCGCTAGATTATTAATGCCATGTAATCCTCCCTATAGCATATTGATAACCTGTCATCCTCCTTAGCTAGCGCTAGCATATTAATATCATGTCATTCTCTTTAGCTAGCTAGCTAGAGCTAGCACACATAAACACATAAACCAAAGGTAGCGCTTAGCTACGTGCTAATCGCTAGCTAACCGCTAATCGCTAGCTAACCGCTAATCGCTAGCTACATGCTAATCGCTAGCTAAGCGCTAATCGCTAGCTAAGTGCTAGCTGTGTTTGGTTAATGTGTTTAATTGTATTATGCTCCTGAAGGAGTGCTAATGTAAATTAAGGAACAGCTCATAGTAGGGTAAAATATTTAAGGTGTATTGTTCTTATTTTGTGTTAATATTAAAATCATTCAGCTTTAAATTGTTTGCTTGTTAGCCACCTGCTAATTATCTTTAGCTAGCCAGCTAGCGCTAGCTTATTAATGCCTTGTCATTCTCTGTAGCTAGCTGTGTGTGTGTGTGTGTGTGTGTGTGTGTGTGTGTGTGTGAGCAGGCTTTGGTTGTCATGGCAATCAGGGAGCCCACAGCAGCTGCGCACGCTCTCTCTCTGTCTCTAACTCTTGAGAGAGACAGAAAACATTTAAAATGAATCCCCTCAAAAGCATGGCCAGGAACGACCGAAATGAAAACCGAAAAGACCGTGGGCGTCATCATCTTGTTGACTATAGCACTGCCGAGTTTCAGTGGCTAAAGTTAAAAAATGTGACCTGGGGAGATTGAGAGAGAAGAGGTTCAACGAGCGTTTTTCAAGATTCCTCCTCTAAAATTAACATGGGAGTAGATGGGGCCGTGAGAGGGCGTTGCTGGCGCATCAGTGCGTCTCCCGCCAAAACTATTTGTCTGACCGCTTCAGCAGTAGTATCACTGCGACCCCAACGGATTTACCTACGTTTCTATCTATAAATTATTTCGGTAGAGTGAAATTTGTGGCCATGACAGCAGTTTACAAATTTATTTTTCGACAAATTTTTCCCTTCTCCCCACACTCTAGCGATGATGTCACGCACTCTGGCAGTTTTTTTCAGTTGGAGGTTCTCGCAATACACACCCATTCATTTTTTGGACCGGTTTTTGGCGATTTATCGGCAAACCGTTTGGCGGAATTCTTAGAAAAGTCATAGCACACCATTCCCGGCCGAGCCGCACGTTTTGATACCTTTTTTGTGTATGTGCGACAAAAACTGCGGGAGAAGAAGCGCGCCGAAAAACAGGCGGAAGAATAATAAGAAAACTAAGCAAAGAGAAGAGTAGTATTGTGCTTGCTTATGCAAGGCACAATAACTAGAAAATTCCTAAAGCAATTTTGATTGTGCCTTGCTCTGGCCCGTGACACTGGCCCATACATTACTGACACTGCCGAGTAGTTTACAGTACAATGAGGGGAGACACCTGTGTTTAATTCGGCGTCCGCGTGATCCACTAACAACCACGTATTTTAATGATAAATCTTGTTTTTTCCATCTATTGCCACGGTCTTCTCCCACTGAAATAGTGAGGCTGGTAACGAGTTGATGCGACAAAGTCGGCCAAAAAGTTTGTATTCATGTATTATATTGAGGCCGAATTAACAAGAAGACTGTTGAGATATGATGAGTTTTTTCTTGTGTTTCTACAGTTATGTGCTTTTATGTAAGCGCAAATAATTGTTAATATATGGTATTTCTTAAATGGAGTTTGGCATAATATTGTCCTGGGATAATGCAGGAAGGGTCATGGTTTAATTAAAATTGCTAAAGTAACTAAATAAGTAATAACCACAATGGTGGGAATAATAAGTATGTAGTTTGTAATAATATAATAATAATCATAAAAATAACAACAATAATAAGTAATGCTATCAATAATATGAATAACAATATTTATATTAATAAATAATACATAATTAAGAAAGAAAACTATTCTTACTGTGCAGTCATAGGCAGTTACAACAGTCTGAGTGTCTTCTTCCTCACAAAATAAATCTATCTTGATGTTTTATTACATTAGTAAATCTGTATAACTTGTGTCAGGTGTAACAAGTTGAAATAGATGGCTAATTAAGAATTGCTGTGTCTTTTGTGACGTTTAATTAGCACAGTAATCCTTTGTCCTCTCTAGCTAGCGAGTGCTAGCACATTCATACCTTGTTCTGTCTAGCTAGCTTGCGCTAGAACATTAGTAGCTTGTCCTCTCTAGCAAGCAGAGCATTTTAATTAATTAGCTAGCCTTCTAATACCTTCTTCTATCTTCTAATTCTTTGCTAGCATTTTAATACCCTCTAATTCTCTTTAGGTAGCTAGCTAGAGCTAGCAAACATAAACACATTAACCAGAGCTAGCGCTTAGCTACGTGCTAATCGCTAGCTAACCGCTAATTACGCTAATCGCTAGCTAAGCGCTTATCGCTAGCTAAGTGCTAGCTTTGGTTAATGTGTTTAATTGTATTATGCTCCTGAAGGAGTGCTAATGTAAATTAAGGAACAGCTCATAGTAGGGTAAAATATTTAAGGTGTATTGAACTTATTTTGTGTTAATATTAAAATCACTCAGCTTTAAATTGTTTGCTTGTTAGCCACCTGCTAATTATCTTTAGCTAGCCAGCTAGCGCTAGCTTATTAATAGCTTAAATAATCCTCTGAAGCTAGCTGTGTGTGTGTGTGTGTGTGTGTGTGTGTGTGTGTGTGTGTGGCAGGCTTTAGTTGTCATGGCAATCAGGGGAGCCCACAGCAGCTGCGCGCTCTCTCTCTGTCTCTAACTCCTCAGAGAGACAGAAACATTTAAAATGAATCCCCTCAAAAGCATGGCCAGGAACGACCGAAATGAAAACCGAAAAGACCGTGAGCGTCGTCAACTTGTTGACTATAGCGCTGCCGAGTTTCAGTGGCTAAAGTTAAAAAATGTGACCTGGGGAGATTGAGAGAGAAGAGGTTCAACGAGCGTTTTTCAAGAATCCTCCTCTCCATTTTAACATGGGAGTAGATGGGGCCATGAGAGGGAGTTGCTGGCGCATCAGTGCGTCTCCCGCCAAAACTATTTGTCTGACAGCTTCAGCAGAAGTATCACTGTGACCCCAACGAATTTACCTACGTTTCTATCTATAAATTATTTCGGTAGAGTGAAATTTGTGGCCATGACAGCAGTTTACAAATTTATTTTTCGACAAATTTTTCTCTCTCCCCACACTCTAGCGATGATGTCACGCACTCTGGCAGTTTTTTTCGGTTGGAGGTTCTCGCAATACACACCCATTCATTTTTTGGACCGGTTTTTGGCGATTTATCGGCAAACCGTTTGGCGAAATTCTTAGAAAAGTCATAGCACTCGATTCCCGGCCGAGCCGCACGTTTTGATACCTTTTTTGTGTATGTGCGACAAAAGCTCCGGGAGGAGTAGCGCGCCGAAAAACGTACGGAAGAATAATATTAATAAGCCCGAGGGATAATAGTATTGTGCTTGCTTATGCAAGGCACAATAATAAGCCCGAGGGATAGTAGTATTGTGCTTGCTTATGCAAGGCACAATAACTAGAAAATTCCTAAAGCAATTTTGATTGTGCCTTGCTCTGGCCCATATGTTAATACCATGTCTACGTGCTAACATAGCTCTGCGCTAATGGCTAGCTAAGTGCTAACCGCTAATCGCTAGCTAAGTGCTAGCTTTGGTTAATGTGTTTAATTGTATCATGCTCCTGAAGGAGTGCTAATGTAAATTAAGGAACAGCTCATAGTAGGGTAAAATATTTAAGGTGTATTGTTCTTATTTTGTGTTAATATTAAAATCATTCAGCTTTAAATTGTTTGCTTGTTAGCCACCTGCTAATTATCTTTAGCTACCGCTAGCTTATTAATGTCTTGTCATTCTCTTTAGCTAGCTAGCTAGAGCTAGAGCTAGCACACATAAACACATAAACCAAAGGTAGCGCTTAGCTACGTGCTAATCGCTTGCTAACCGCTAATTGCTAGCTACGTGCTAATCGCTAGCTACATGCTAATCGCTAGCTAAGCGCTAATCGCTAGCTAAGCGCTAATCGCTAGCTAAGTGCTAGCTTTGGTTAATGTGTTTAATTGTATTTTGCTCCTGAAGGAGAGCTAATGTAAATTAAGGAACAGCTCATAGTAGGGTAAAATATTTAAGGTGTATTGTTCTTATTTTGTGTTAATATTAAAATCATTCAGCTTTAAATTGTTTGTTTGTTAGCTGCCTGCTAATTATCTTTAGCTAGCCAGCTACCGCTAGCTTATTAATGTCTTGTCATTCTCTGTAGCTAGCTGTGTGTGTGTGTGTGTGTGTGTGTGAGTGAGCAGGCTTTGGTTGTCATGGCAATCAGGGGAGCCCACAGCAGCTGCGCACGCTCTCTCTCTGTCTCTAACTCCTCAGAGAGACAGAAACATTTAAAATGAATCCCCTCAAAACCCATGGCCAGGAACGACCGAGATGAAAACCGAAAAGACCGTGAGCGTCGTCATCTTGTTGACTATAGCACTGCCGAGTTTCAGTGGTTAAAGTTAAAAAATGTGACCTGGGGAGATTGAGAGAGAAGAGGTTCAACGAGCGTGTTTCAAGATTTGTCCTCTAAAATTAACATGGGAGTAGATGGGGCCGTGAGAGGGAGTTGCTGGCGCATCAGTGCGTCTCCCGCCAAAACTATTTGTCTGACAGCTTCAGCAGTAGTATCACTGCGACCCCAACGGATTTACCTACGTTTCTATCTATAAATTATTTCTGTAGAGTGAAATTTGTGGCCATGACAGCAGTTTACAAATTTATTTTTCGACAAATTTTTCCCTTCTCCCCACACTCTAGCGATGATGTCACGCACTCTGGCAGTTTTTTTCGGTTGGAGGTTCTCGCAATACACACCCATTCATTTTTTGGACCGGTTTTTGGCGATTTATCGGCAAACCGTTTGGCGAAATTCTTAGAAAAGTCATAGCACTAATGTCCTCATCGAGCCGCACGTTTTGATACCTTTTTTGTGTATGTGCGACAAAAGCTCTGGGAGAAGAAGCGCGCCGAAAAACGTACGGAAGAATAATAATAAGTTTAATAATAACTAGAAAATTCCTAAAGCAATTTTGATTGTGCCTTGCTCTGGCCCATATGTTAATACCATGTCTAGCCATGTCTTGCTCTCTAGCACGCTAGCGCTAGCATATTAATACCATGTAATTCTCTTTAGCTAGAGCTAGCACACATAAACACATTAACCAAAGGTAGCGCTTAGCTACGTGCTAAGCGCTAGCTAAGCGCTAATCGCTAGCTACGTGCTAATCGCTAGCTAAGTGCTAGCTTTGGTTAATGTGTTTAATTGTATTATGCTCCTGAAGGAGTGCTAATGTAAATGAAGGAACAGCTCATAGTAGGGTAAAATATTTAAGGTGTATTAAACTTACTTTGTGTTAATATTAAAATCATTCAGCCTTAAATTGTTTGCTTGTTAGCCGCCTGCTAATTATCTTTAGCTAGCCAGCTAGCGCTAGATTATTAATGCCATGTAATCCTCCCTATAGCATATTGATAACCTGTCATCCTCCTTAGCTAGCGCTAGCATATTAATATCATGTCATTCTCTTTAGTTAGCTAGCTAGAGCTAGCACACATAAACACATAAACCAAAGCTAGCGCTTAGCTACGTGCTAATCGCTAGCTAACCGCTAATCGCTAGCTAACCGCTAATCGCTAGCTAAGCTAAGCCCGCTAATCGCTAGCTAAGCGCTAATCGCTAGCTAAGTGCTAGCTGTGGTTAATGTGTTTAATTGTATTATTCTCCTGAAGGAGTGCTAATGTAAATTAAGGAACAGCTCATAGTAGGGTAAAATATTTAAGGTGTATTGTTCTTATTTTGTGTTAATATTAAAATCATTCAGCTTTAAATTGTTTGTTTGTTAGCCACCTGCTAATTATCTTTAGCTAGCCAGCTAGCGCTAGCTTATTAATGTCTTGTCATTCTCTGTAGCTAGCTGTGTGTGTGTGTGTGTGTGTGAGAGCAGGCTTTGGTTGTCATGGCAATCAGGGGAGCCCACAGCAGCTGCGCACGCTCTCTCTCTGTCTCTAACTCCTCAGAGAGACAGAAAACATTTAAAATGAATCCCCTCAAAAGCATGGCCAGGAACGACCGAAATGAAAACCGAAAAGACCGTGAGCGTCGTCATCTTGTTGACTATAGCGCTGCCGAGTTTCAGTGGTTAAAGTTAAAAAAATGTGACCTGGGGAGATTGAGAGAGAAGAGGTTCAACGAGCGTTTTTCAAGAATCCTCCTCTCCATTTTAACATGGGAGTAGATGGGGCCATGAGAGGGAGTTGCTGGCGCATCAGTGCGTCTCCCGCCAAAACTATTTGTCTGACCGCTTCAGCAGTGGTATCACTGCGACCCCAACGAATTTACCTACGTTTCTATCTATAAATTATTTCGGTAGAGTGAAATTTGTGGCCATGACAGCAGTTTACAAATTTATTTTTCGACAAATTTTTCTCTCTCCCCACACTCTAGCGATGATGTCACGCACTCTGGCGGTTTTTTTCAGTTGGAGGTTCTCGCAATACACACCCATTCATTTTTTGGACCGGTTTTCGGCGATTTACCGGCAAACCGTTTGGCGGAATTCTTAGAAAAGTCATAGCACTCGATTCCCGGCCGAGCCGCACGTTTTGATACCTTTTTTGTGTATGTGCGACAAAAGCTCCGGGAGGAGTAGCGCGCCGAAAAACGTACGGAAGAATAATAAGAAAACCTAGAAAATTCCTAAAGCAATTTTGATTGTGCCTTGCTCTGGCCCATATGTTAATACCATGTCTACGTGCTAACCGCTAATCGCTAGCTGTGCGCTAATCGCTAGCTAAGTGCTAACCGCTAATCGCTAGCTAAGTGCTAGCTTTGGTTAAGGTGTTTAATTGTGTTATTCTCCTGAAGGAGTGCTAATGTAAATTAAGGAACAGCTCATAGTAGGGTAAAATATTTAAGGTGTATTGTTCTTATTTTGTGTTAATATTAAAATCATTCAGCTTTAAATTGTTTGTTTGTTAGCCACCTTCTAATTATCTTTAGCTAGCCAGCTAGCGCTAGATTATTAATGCCATGTAATCCTCCCTATAGCATATTGATAACCTGTCATCCTCCTTAGCTAGCGCTAGCATATTAATATCATGTCATTCTCTTTAGCTAGCTAGCTAGAGGTAGCACACATAAACACATAAACCAAAGGTAGCGCTTAGCTACGTGCTAATCGCTAGCTAACCGCTAATCGCCAGCTACATGCTAATCGCTAGCTAACCGCTAATCGCTAGCTAAGCGCTAATCGCTAGCTAAGTGCTAGCTTTGGTTAATGTGTTTAATTGTATTATGCTCCTGAAGGAGTGCTAATGTAAATTAAGGAACAGCTCAGAGTAGGGTAAAATATTTAAGGTGTATTGAACTTATTTTGTGTTAATATTAAAATCATTCAGCTTTAAATTGTTTGCTTGTTAGCCGCCTGCTAATTATCTTTAGCTAGCCAGCTAGCGCTAGATTATTAATGCCATGTAATCCTCCCTATAGCATATTGATAACCTGTCATCCTCCTTAGCTAGCGCTAGCATACTGATATCATGTCATTCTCTTTAGCTAGCTAGATAGAGCTAGCACACATAAACACATAAACCAAAGCTAGCGCTTAGCTACGTGCTAATCGCTAGCTAAGCGCTAATCGCTAGCTAATCGCTAATCGCTAGCTAAGTGCTAGCTGTGGTCAATGTGTTTAATTGTATTATGCTCCTGAAGGAGTGCTAATGTAAATTAAGGAACAGCTCATAGTAGGGTAAAATATTTAAGGTGTATTGTTCTTATTTTGTGTTAATATTAAAATCATTCAGCTTTAAATTGTTTGCTTGTTAGCCGCCTGCTAATTATCTTTAGCTAGCTAGCGCTAGCTTATTAATGTCTTGTCATTCTCTGTAGCTAGCTGTGTGTGTGTGTGTGTGTGTGTGTGTGAGCAGGCTTTGGTTGTCATGGCAATCAGGGGAGCCCACAGCAGCTGCGCACGTTTCTCTGTCTCTAACTCCTCAGAGAGACAGAAAACAATTAAAATGAATCCCCTCAAAAGCATGGCCAGGAACGACCGAAATGAAAACCGAAAACACCGTGGGCGTCGTCATCTTGTTGACTATAGCGCTGCCGAGTTTCAGTGGCTAAAGTTAAAAAATGTGACCTGGGGAGATTGAGAGAGAAGAGGTTCAACGAGCGTTTTTCAAGATTTGTCCTCTAAAATTAACATGGGAGTAGATGGGGCTGTGAGAGGGAGTTGCTGGCGCATCAGTGCGTTTCCCGCCAAAACTATTTGTCTGACAGCTTCAGCAGTGGTATCACTGCGACCCCAACGAATTTACCTACGTTTCTTTCTATAAATTATTTCTGTAGAGTGAAATTTGTGGCCGTGACAGCAGTTTACAAAAAAATTTTTCGACAAATTTTTCTCTCTCCCCACACTCTAGCGATGATGTCACGCACTCTGGCAGTTTTTTTCGGTTGGAGGTTCTCGCAATACACACCCATTCATTTTTTTGACCGGTTTTTGGCGATTTATCGGCAAACCGTTTGGCGAAATTCTTAGAAAAGTCATAGCACTCGATTCCCGGCCGAGCCGCACGTTTTGATACCTTTTTTGTGTATGTGCGACAAAAGCTGCGGGAGAAGAAGCGCGCCGAAAAACGTACGGAAGAAGAATAATAACTAGAAAATTCCTAAAGAAATTTTGATTGTGCCTTGCTCTGGCCCATATGTTAATACCATGTCTACGTGCTAACCGCTAATCGCTAGCTGTGCGCTAATCGCTAGCTTAGTGCTAACCGCTAATCGCTAGCTTAGTGCTAACCGCTAATTGCTAGCTAAGTGCTAGCTTTGGTTAATGTGTTTAATTGTATTATGCTCCTGAAGGAGTGCTAATGTAAATTAAGGAACAGCTCATAGTAGGGTAAAATATTTAAGGTGTATTGAACTTATTTTGTGTTAATATTAAAATCATTCAGCTTTAAATTGTTTGCTTGTTAGCCACCTTCTAATTATCTTTAGCTAGACAGCTAGCGCTAGATTATTAATGCCATGTAATCCTGCCTTCAGCATATTGATAACCTGTCATCCTCCTTAGCTAGCGCTAGCATATTAATATCATGTCATTCTCTTTAGCTAGCTAGCTAGAGCTAGCACACATAAACACATAAACCAAAGGTAGCGCTTAGCTACGTGCTAATCGCTAGCTAACCGCTAATCGCTAGCTACATGCTAATCGCTAGCTACATGCTAATCGCTAGCTAAGCGCTAATCGCTAGCTAAGTGCTAGCTTTGGTTAATGTGTTTAATTGTATTATGCTCCTGAAGGAGTGCTAATGTAAATTAAGGAACAGCTCATAGTAGGGTAAAATATTTAAGGTGTATTGTTCTTATTTTGAGTTAATATTAAAATCATTCAGCTTTAAATTGTTTGCTTGTTAGCCGCCTGCTAATTGTCTTTAGCTAGCCAGCTAGCGCTAGCTTATTAAGGTCTTGTCATTCTCTGTAGCTAGCTTGTGTGTGTGTGTGTGTGTGTGTGTGTGTGTGTGTGGCAGGCTTTAGTTGTCATGGCAATCAGGGAGCCCACAGCAGCTGCGCACGCTCGCTCTCTGTCTCTAACTCCTCAGAGAGACAGAAACATTTAAAATGAATCCCCTCAAAAGCATGGACAGGAACGACCCGAAATGAAAACCGAAAAGACCGTGAGCGTCGTCATCTTGTTGACTATAGCGCTGCCGAGTTTCAGTGGCTAAAGTTAAAAAATGTGACCTGGGGAGATTGAGAGAGAAGAGGTTCAACGAGCGTGTTTCAAGAATCCTCCTCTCCTTTTTAATATGGGAGTAGATGGGGCCGTGAGAGGGCGTTGCTGGCGCATCAGTGCGTCTACCGCCAAAACTATTTGTCTGACAGCTTCAGCAGTAGTATCACTGCGACCCCAACGGATTTACCTACGTTTCTATCTATAAATTATTTCTGTAGAGTGAAATTTGTGGCCATGACAGCAGTTTACAAAAAAAATTTTCGACAAATTTTTCTCTCTCCCCACACTCTAGCGATGATGTCACGCACTCTGGCAGTTTTTTTCGGTTGGAGGTTCTCGCAATACACACCCATTCATTTTTTGGACCGGTTTTTGGCGATTTATCGGCAAACCGTTTGGCGAAATTCTTAGAAAAGTCATAGCACTCGATTCCCGGCCGAGCCGCACGTTTTGATACCTTTTTTGTGTATGTGCGACAAAAGCTGCGGGGAGGAGTAGCGCGCCGAAAAAACGTACGGAAGAATAAAATATAATAAGTATGAGGGATAGTAGTATTGTGCTTGCTTATGCAAGGCACAATAATAAGCCCGAGGAAGAGTAGTATTGTGCTTGCTTATGCAAGGCACAATAATAAGCACGAGGAAGAGTAGTATTGTGCTTGCTTATGCAAGGCACAATAATAATAATAAGCACGAGGAAGAGTAGTATTGTGCTTGCTTATGCAAGGCACAATAACTAAGCAAAGAGAAGAGTAGTATTGTGCTTGCTTATGCAAGGCACAATAATAAGCAAAGAGAAGAGTAGTATTGTGCTTGCTTATGCAAGGCACAATAATAATATAATATGATAATAATAATGAACAACAATAATAATAATAAAAATAATGATAACAATAATGTTAATGAAAACAATAAATAGTAATAAATAATAATAATAAAATAACGATTATTACAAGAATAAATAAATAATTTTAAAAATAGTAAATAAATAGTATAAATAATAATAATAAATAATCTAATAATACAAATAATAATAATAATAATAATAATAAGAAGAAGAAGAAGAAATAATATAATAATAAAATAAGAATAACAATAATAATAATAATAATAATGATAATAATAATAATAATAATAATAATGTCTCGCTGTATCTTCTAGCCGTATTGCTGGGTGGTGAGGGGTCTATTGCCCCCCCCACTGTCCTATTTGAAATATAATAAAATATAAAGTATTGGAATGATTATTATAATATTATTAATTCATATTATTTAATTACTGTATGACCATATTATTTAGTTCCACTTTACTTATGTAGTTATTTACTGAATACATGATACAATTATTGGCATTATAATATTAACACTATATGTACATATATACTTGTATAAATGTATATATATATGATGTTATTCCTCCTGTCCATACCTTACAGACACTCATATTGCCCATACTGACCCTGTTATTGTTTATGTTGTCATTGTCTCATGTGTTGTCTTCCTATATGTTGTTTGTATGTGGATTCAGTTTGATGTCACAGTAAATAAAAGATTATTTAAAAAAGGATGAATTTGGGGGAAATGTGAACAAACAACAAACAAATGTTGGAAAAAGTAAAAAGTTAATCTATTAGTTATTGTCTGATAGTTGAAATAGAGATTATTGATTGATTCATTGTATTTATTGTCATCATTTCTTTTAAAACACATGATGGGGAATATAAGATGGAAATAAAGAGTGAATTATTCAGTGTAGATTCTTCCTGTTCTATGAAGGTTTTAAATGTGGAGCTCAACATTGCTCTGCCACAGTCAATGGACTAAACCACTGAAGAAGAAAACAGCCTTTAGCATTAAGATACTCAGTGTGGATCAGTATAATATCAGCCTTATGTCTGCACTTTACTGTCAGCACAACTTAACATCACATTCATCTCAGCACAGAAAGAAAACATGGTGTCTGACCTCAGAGTCTCCAGTCTACAGTGTGGACTCTCCAGAAAACCACACAGCAGCTTCACTCCTGAATCCTCCAGGTTGTCGTTGTCACTCAGGTCCAGCTCTCTGAGATGGGAGGGGTTGGACTTCAGAGCTGAGACCAGAGAAGAACAGCTGATCTCTGACAAACTGCAGCGACTCAATCTGAATAAAGAATAAAAGATGAAGATAAAATCACTTATAATCCAATCAGATGTGTTCAGGTTTTAAATGTGGAGATCAACATTACTATGTCCTAATCAATGAGCTTTTCTCTAAAATGAGTAGAGTGACTTTGTTATTGTGTTCACTTTTGTCTTTGTCACATTTTTCCACCTGCGATTCTGTTTTTACATCAGCAGGTGAGCCGCGTGTGGAGGAGGCTCGTTGTTAATGACGTAGCCAATCAAAACCATGGAAACCAACGTGGTAACCAATGACAACGGCACCAGCTGATCATAATCATAACAATAACAATAATAATAAGAATAATAGTGATAATGATAACAATAATAATGATGATAAATAATTTAAAAAAGAATAAAAAAAGAATAATAAAATATAATATTAATAATAATAATAATAATAATAATAATAGTGACAATAAAATAATAATGTTAATGACAATAAATAATAATAATACATTAATATTATAATAACAATTAACAACAAAAAAATAATAATATTAATGATAGTAATAAATAATAATAATAAAATAATAATAATGAAAATAATGATTATTACAAGAATAAATAAATAGTATTAAAAATAATAAAAAAAATAATATAAATAATATAATAATAACAAGAATAATAATTATTAATAATAATAATAATAATAATAATAATAATGTCCCACTGTGTCCTCCAGCCGTATTGCTGGGTGGTGAGGGGTCTATTGCCCCCCCCTCACTGTCGTATTTGAAATATAATAAAATATAAAGTATTGGAATGATTATTATTATATTATTAATTCATATTATTTAATTACTATATGACCATATTATTTAGTTCCACTTTACTTATGTAGTTATTTACTGAATACATGATACAATTATTGGCATTATAATATTAACACTATATGTACATATATACTTATATAAATGTATATATATATATGATGTTATTCCTCCTGTCCATACCTTACAGACACTCATATTGCCCATACTGACCCTGTTATTGTTTATGTTGTCATTGTCTCATGTGTTGTCTTCCTATATGTTGTTTGTATGTGGATTCAGTTTGATGTCACAGTAAATAAAAGATTATTTAAAAAAGGATGAATTTGGGGGAAATGTGAACAAACAACAAACAAATGTTGGAAAAAGTAAAAAGTGAATCTATTAGTTTT